ATAATACATTTTGTTTTTCAGGATTATTTGATAAATAGAAAGTTCAACAGAACAGCATTTATTTGAAATGAAAAGGCATTATAACATTATAAATGTCTTCTCAGACTTTTTTCATCTATTTAAGTCACCCTTACTGAACCAAAATATTAATTTCTTAAAAAAAAGGACCTCAAACTTTTAGATTGTAGTGTATATAATTCATGGCTTTAGCAATCCCATCTTGCTTTGCAGCAATGCGTGCTAGAGTGACTGTTCTTGTGCTAAAATTTGCTTCCAAGCTGCTATGTAGTTGTAAGTCTGTCTGGGTCGTGGATTTGACACCGTCACCTAGTTAACGCTTATCAACAGCAACCTGAGCTGTGCTATGTTGAGGTAAGCCGCATCTGTCCCGGCCTGACTAGAAGTGAAACTATCAGCCGTTAACTCTGTGGTCAGCGTCGGCCTGACCTATCAAGAAGAGATATTGAAGAGTGCGGATATAGTTCATCAGATGTTCTCAGCTGCCCCTGTGTGAATACGGTTTTAGATGCATTAAGGTTATTATACACTCCCACCCAACACTGTAATCTCTTAATCTGCTGAGGACTGGAATCACAGGCTGCATCTGTCAGAGTGCTCGACAGGGGAGAGGCCATACACCTAATGTGTCAACACACCACACACAAGCATTTTGTAACTTCCTGTGAGACAGCATTTCAAATCTGGCACTTTATACCAAGTCAACAGCCAAATCACTGACCACAAGCATGAACACACACATACACATTCATCCACTAGTGCATCTCCATACCTCGGACAAACACTCCATTCCCTGACGCACACCCCATCTATCTGGTCTCATTCACAGCTCTCCTTCACACGCCACGGACCTGGCTGAAGGATGCAGGGCTGGGGAGGGGGGCTTGATAATGATGCAGACACTCCTATAACTGCAAATGGACTTCGCTACATTAGCCGAGCCAATACGTACACACAAACACATCTACAAAAACACACTCACACAAGCGTGAACTACAGTTTTACCTAACAATGCTAATTGGTTGAAAAGGGTCAGGCTTATGTTGACAGTAATGAAGACTGATGCTCTTGTGTGTCCTCAGATGTGGGAGATGGCAGTGTGGGTATAAATAAATACTGTCAGCGCTAACCCAGATCTGAAGTTTGGTGTACACACATAAAAAGAGACAGAAGATATAACATACATTACAGCAAGCCATTGGAATCCAGTAAATTTGGTAAAAAAAAAAAAAAATTATGGAAACTTAACAAATAAAATATATAAATGTGAAAAATTTAAGGGGGTCTGAATACTTTCCGTACCCACTGTATATATTTTAGGCTGACACTTAATTTATTAGACTGAATGCTTCTCTGAAAACAGGTTCAAGAGGATAATAATAATAATAATAATAATAATACAATAAAACAATGCAAAAACCTAGAACAATACTTATATCGTACAATTAGTCTGTTTGAATTTTAAATGTTAAACAACTTTTCAAAACATTTACGAACTGGTGAGACTCATGCAGGAGCTTGGTTTATCTAAACTACAGGAAAATTCATATTAACAAATACGGCTTCATGTGTATGTTGCTCATATCTTTTAAAGGGATAGTTGTCCCAAATATTGAAGAAAAACAAAATCTGTCATTTACTCACCATCATGCCACTGCAAACCCGTAAAACTTACTTTCTTATGTGAGAGATAAATTGAGAAATTTCTGTTCTCAAAATGTTTATCCATCAAATAGAAATCAATAGTCAGCGATACTGTTTCTTCAAAATATCCTCTATTTTGTTCCACAGAAGAAAGGTTGTACAAAAAGTTTGAAACAATATGACGATGAGTGAAAGCTTTGGATGAAGTACTTTTTTGGGTGAAATATCCATTTAGGCTACACTCAAAGTGATTTAGATTTTCCCAACACAGGGGGGAAAAAAATGCAGAGTGTACATTGGCGTGACTATTTGGATGTACTGATTTGATCTGAGGTGGCCTTAAAGCTTTAAGAACCACTGACCTAGAAGAACAAGGAAGATGAGTCTAAAACATATATTTGAACAAGTTGGACATTTGTTGCTGTTTGTCAACATGTCTTTACATTAAGAGTGAAAAATGACAGTCTTCCGAAGCGAGGCTTCAGGGTACGTGGGGATGCAAACAGAAGGAGTTTACATTCAGCAAAGGTGCTCAGCAGAGCCGGGTTGAGTCGAGCATCTGCTCTCATTTTTGAGTTTGTGGCGAGAGCCGTGCTGCTTGCGGCCCAAAGAAGGCAACGAGCCAGTGTGTGAGCTTAAGGGGGTTAAGGCCACACACAAACACACACACACTTAACTGAGAAAGTGAGAGTGAGCACTGCTAAGTGTGATCGGCTCTTCACTGCTTGCTCTGCCATGTTAGCTGGAGTTACACTGTGCCAACTGGGCCAGGATGAGGGATTGTGTATGACATGCACGGCTGTCCGGCGTTAAAGCCATTTAGCAGTTTAGTGTGTGTGTGTGTGTGCATGCTGAGAGTTATCTACAGATATACTGCTTACATCTAAATATTCTGTCGGCTTTCACACACACCAGACTGATAATAATGTGTGGCAGGTGCCAACTGGATAGTGGCATAATCGGCCCAATCTTCATCCCCTTGAAACTGCGTGTGGGTTTTTAAGAAGGAAGCCACAAATACGCAGTTGGCCAGATTGTTAGTCTGTATCTGTGAAAACTGAAGAAGATTTGACTCATTCTGTTCAAACATCACACATTCTCACTTCCTCGCCCTCAGTTGATCTCTACTCTGTGTCCATTTGATTTTGAGCTCTAATTGAGAGATATGGTACATGAGAGGGGGATCAAGCGGAGGGAAGGACAGGGGGGAGATGAAAGCCAGAGGCCCAGCAGGGAGCTTCCATTTCTTGATCTTTCCCATCTATTTTCTGACCGCCTCATTCATATCGAAGCGCAGCAATATCAATAAGTACATTAACTCACCTACTTTAAACTCATCACACAGTAAGGGACATTCGCTAAGATAGTATAACAGCAAACGCTAAGATAGTATAACATGAGATGATAACAGCTATGCTTCTTCTTAATCACTCAGCAAAGTCATTCCACTTTCTTTTGAGACAGTTAAAAGAAAAAAACTTGAGCAAGCATTTCAGAGAGAGAATGAGAGGGTTCTTCAGATCTTGTAGAGATGCAGTTTGACATTCGGTACTTCAAGAACTAAAATTCTGTCATAATTTTCTCACCCTCATGTTGTTCCAATTCTGTATGGATTTCTTTGTTCTGTGAATCACAAAAGAAGATGTTTTGAAAGATGCTGGTAACCAAAGAAGTTTCGTTTCTATTGAATTTGTCGTTCATAAAATGGAAGTCAATGGGAACCGAAACTTTTCAGTTACCAACATTCTTCAAAATATCTTCTTTTACATTACACAGAAGAAACTAAGTCATACAAGATTTGAACGACATGGGCGAGTAAATCAGTGGACGATCCGTTTAAATGCATTGGCAAATAGTTGTCAGGAGGGAATCAGCCCTCTAATGCCCCATTCACACCGCCAGTCTTATCTCATAAACATTAAATCAGTTATTTTTTCAATAAAATTGAACATTCTGAAGGTAAATAGGTGTTAATAATAATAATGCATCACTTCAAAGATAAATGAGAAGAACTGATGCTTGCTCTTTGCCATCATAGCCACCTATCTGTATAAAGTGCACAAACACAGCGTAATCTAGATCCAAACACATAACTGTCAATGCAAAACATGCCATATAAATTGTAAACTGCACATTGTTGGATTAACTAATGTATTACACACAATGACTACAATTTAACCATGAGAAATAACTTACTTGGTACCTATAGCATTTACACAAGAGTTGTCTGGCTCATAGCTTCTCTGCTATTTTTAACCTAATAATTTATCAAAAAGATCTAACTCAGCTGAATCATCTGACATCAAAACTTATTTTATGTTTTCTCATAAATGATTTATGGAAAGCTAGGACAGTGAATAAGTATGTACCGTATGTTGATCTGTTCCTCACATGCACATATGCTATCATAAGACATAAAAATATAGTGCATGTGGACTTTTAAAATACTTTTCATCTTTTTTGTGGTTTGACATATTCAGTCACCATCCATTGTTCTTACATGGACAAGACAGTCTTCAGAATGTGTTAACCAGCACCAGAAAGTCATACAGGTTTGGAGCAACATGAGTTGCAAATAAATGATGACAGAATTTTCATTTTTGGATTCCTTTAAGTGCATAGCAGTAAAATAGTCAACCATCTAAGAGAGCAAAAACACCGAATATTTTGCTATAAATTGAGTCAACACACTGCTTCCCCTGCAGAAACATTAGTGGTCTGTGCCTTTTCTGACCTTAACAGAGTATAAACCCAGCACTGGGTTGTATTTAACCCAGCATTTTTTAGAGTGTAATTAATGTACTTTCAGGGATAGTCCATTTCTGGCATGTTTTGCAGCTGCTGATGATACATGACCTTATGCGTAGCTGTCAATAGCCGGAAGGGAATAGGTACAGAGGGTCAGACGATTCATCGCGAGCTTTCCGGGAGACGAGCGCGCGCCTGTCATAGATGGCCAGTGTCGGTATGCGGTCTCCTTAAACCGGACCGTCACGTCTCAATTATGTGTCTCAACAATTTGGGTTTCGAACACACAAAACTGCAAAAGCGGACGCGAGAGACAATTGCAAACTAGAAAAAAAGTGTCCGACGCTTCCGTTTGGCTTTCCGCTCAAGCGCCAGAAATAATGAGGATGATGAAACCAGCGAGACAGATACACATTACCAGGACTAAAATCCCACGACAGGGTTAGTTTAATCAAAAGGATTTGTCAGTGAACCGACACGGCTGTGTAGTTGTATTTTCAGCATTCATACAAGTGTAGAAAAACAGTCGAGGACATAGACGTGCATTGGCAAAAGCGCACAGAGCGTGGCATATAAATGTAAGATCTTACCTGCGCTGAACAGCCTGTTCATTTCCCGAAGGAAACTTTTATTTCCCTCGGGGAGCACCTTCCAAATGCAACGCCGACGAGTCGATACTTTTCTTAAGATAACTGTCAATTCCTTTAAATGTATAACATCACACTTGAAAGCGACGGATAGCGGGTAAAATGTCTAACGCAGAGAGCTAATGACCACTGAATGGAGAGTCAGTTAGACGATGGCCGTCCGTAGGGATCCCGCTGTCTTAAAATGCACACACGGCGAAACACGGCAAGATCGCGAGTCTCTACAACCTTCTGCTTTGATTAAGCGAAACAGAGGCGCGCGCTGAATGAGCGCGTGTGAGGAAGATCGGACGCTACCATTCACGCTGAGGGTCAACTGACAGATGCATGCGAGTGACGGCTCAAGCATCTGTCCGAGCGGAGAAATATCAGCGCTGATGGGACTTATGAGCTGACAAACAGTCCTTCGAATCGAATTAAACCTAAGAGAATGATTCAAATGTAATTTCCTTAAGAAGTATGTGCTCGCTCCTCAGGTACATGCCCCGCATGCGGGTGCACTTGCTTGAGATGTGAGAAGAATGAAAATCAGCTTTTTTTTTTTCTCCTTTCGAGGTGTAAAAAAAACCCATCTGTAATACCATATTCAGAATTATTTGGATTCAGTTATTCATGTAAGGCATAACACATTCTACAGTGAGCTGAAGAAAGGGGGATCAGGATCTGACTGATTTTTGTTGTTGTTTTTTTGCCATTGGGATGACTGGAAAATATTGCCCATTTAGAGACGTGTAATAATTTAGTATTTAATTAGTTTTAAGTTTGTACCAAGTGATTTGTGCTAGTGATAAATGTACCACTTTCCATGGTTCTAATATATACCCCACTCTGTCGCTCTCTCTCTTGTTTAAAATCACATTTACATTCCTAAAACTATACAAAACAAAATCAGCTTCAAGATGCAGAACATGCTCACACACCACATTCAAAACAACGTTTCAAATCTATTAATTTTTACTGTTCCTGATCCAATACTGGCCTATTTACTATATGCTTATAATTACTGAATGAAATTGAGCAAAAAAAAAATTTTTTATTAAATAAAAATGAAAAATGTAAAAAATTGAAAATTGAAAAAAAGAAAGAAAAATAAATAAACAAAAACCTGGAAAAAAACTAAATAAAAAAATCATCATGATTTTATTTTTCTCTGTTGGCAGCAATCTTGAATAATAAATAAACACTGTCTTAACCAAATTCAGCACAATCCAAGACTTAAACCTGTATCATTTGCCATCATGTACAGCCTCTTTCAGCAATGTCAAGGCCGAATTGAGTTTATGGAGGTTTTTCACTTGCTGAAGGGATGTGCCTGGTGAAAGCCTTTTCACTAAAGTCTTTTTAGCACAAGTCGGTTATGATAAATAATTTCCAGCTGACAAGTAATTTTAGGAGGGTACAGTATTTCACAGATGAGGAGAGGGTGTATTACCCTGCACACAAACAAAGTGACTGAAATTTTGTCTTTTAGTTCCACAAACCTGACGCTCTGATTAGCGCATTAATGCACCTGCAATGCCATTACTTTAAACATGCATGAGAACAGGGCAGAATGAAAATGGGATGCAATTACAGCCTATAACCAGGGAGTCATTGTTGAGATTTCTGCGTTATTCAACACCAAACGAAGATCTACTGCATATCTCCCTATAGGTTGGGAACATTAAAGCTTGATTATTTGAGAACACCTTGTTAGAAAAACCCCATGGCTGCTTTTTAAAATGCACATTTCAAACATTTCTTACACTCTACAGGTGATTGTCTGATTTGGTTATGACACAGCACGTGTTCCAGCTTCAGATTTGTTTGGAGACAAAGATGGGGAGGCATTCAGTTTTCTCCATGTTGTCTTGTGCCCCCCCCCCGCAACAAGATAGAGGCCAGTGAGAGGGAAACTGTTTTGTACCAAGCTGTGATTCTCAATGAGGTTATTCTCTCTGCTTCAAACCAACACTGCTCAGCATGGAGTTGTCTTCCTTGTCCCACAACCAAGATCAGTCGGCTTTAACCATGGTTCGGTTGGTCATCTTCTCAAAGATACAATTTCAGCATTGCCACAACACTGACCATTTGTCCTCACAAAAAAAAAACACCTTTACCCTTTGTGACAAACTGTTGATTTGCCTGTGATTCAGAGAAAGTAAAAGAGAGGAAGTAAAAGAGAGAGAGGCATGAGTTAGTGTGAAGGTGCCAGCTGGCACTTGCACAGTCTAAAGAAGCAGATCCACTTCTCAATTCTCACTCAATAGCGCACAGAATATGGAATATATGGATTTGTATATACTACAAAGATATAACACAAATAAATAAATAAAATTAAAATTAAAAAGCAGCACAACTGTTTCCAACGTTGATAACATATCAGCATATTAGAATGATTTCTGAAGGATCATGTGACACCGAAGACTTGTTGATGAAAATTCAGCTTTGCATCACAGGAATAAATTATATTTTAAAGTATATTAAAAGAGAAAAATTTTAAATTGCAGTAATATTTCACAGTATTAAATTTTTTTCTGTATTTATGATCAAATAAATGCAGCCTTGATGAGCATAAGAAACTTCTTTAAAAAACATTAAAAATCTCACTGATCCCAAACTTTTGAACGGCAGTGCATATATAACTCATCAAAAAAAATCCCATTTTCAGGATACTGTCTTTAAAGATAATTTCGTAAAATCCAAATAAGTAGGGCTGTGCAAAAAATCGAATGCGATTTTCATGTGCATCTCGTCAGTAAAGCCGCTTCTGGTGATTAGTAGTTAATCTCCAGCACGTGCGTTCAGATGGAGTGGCATTTACTACACAGAGCCGTAGTCGGCAATGAATCGCCTGCGATTTTGAACGCGATTTTGTGCAGCATGTCAGTGATCTACGGCTCTATGTAGTAAATGCCGCTCCATCTGAAAGCATGTGCTGGAGATTAATAATTAACTAATTAACTTAATTTGAACTAATTTAAGATTAACTACTAATCACCAGAAGCGGCTTTACTGACAAGATTCGCATGAAAATCGCATTAAATATTTTGCCCAGCCCTACAAATAAGCTTTACATATCTTTATTAAAAAGTTTTTGAACAATGTTTTTCATGCTTCTTCGATGAACTAAACAATTATTGCACATGGACCAGTGGAAAAGTTCTTCATGCAAGTTTACAGGCAGTAGAAAATTAATGTCACAGTTCCAAAAACTTATGCCAGTAAAGAAACCGTTCTGCTGACTCTGAAAAACACCAGAAGAAAGATGTTCATGGTTCCTGATCACCTGCGTGAGCATGCCATAGTCCTGCTGCAGGGAGGCATGGGGACTGCAGATGTGAACAGAGCAATAAACTGCAATGTCTGTAATGTACTGTAAGACACCTAAGACAGTGCTGCAGAGAGCCAGGAAGGACAGCTGATTGTCCTTGTAATGCCAGACCACATGTGACCATATGAAGCCCCAGATGTGTTCAAGAGCTTGCACTATATCTATTTATACATACAACCATTCAAAAGTTTGGGGTCGGTAATATTGTTTTGTAAAATGTTGTTGAAAGAAGTCTTATATTTACCATGGCTGCATTTATTTAATTATAAACACAGTTATATTGTGAATTTTGTCATATATTTTAAAATGTAATTTATTCCTGTGATGCAAAGCTGAATTTTCAGCATTCATTACTCCGATCTTCAGTGTCACTTACTCCCAGAAGTTGTGTGAAGTCAGATCATATCTTGCTAAATTTAGAAAAATCTTTTCTTTTTTTTTTTGTCAGAATTATGCATCAGACTGTCAAGAAATGGATGGTGGGTGATCTACAGGCATGCCGTGTGAGACTGGGACTAGGCAACCAGACATATGAGAAAATGTTTCGATAGGAGACCCACATATACATGCAAACAACACACCAAAGTCACCTTATGTCAGAGAGCAGTCTATCAGTCTCTTTCCTGCAGATACCACACTACATCATGCCTGAGGAGCCAAATAATAGCTGTTTTTTTTTCCTATTTTGCATGTAAACACATGGTTTTGGAAGCCAAAGATGGAAAATATGATAGTCATGCTGTGCCTGTGTAAGTTTGCATGCAAAATATTGTGTATGTGTTTTTTTGAAAGCCAGTGAAAAAGAAAAAAGTCCAAAACAGGCCAGCAGTCAGAGCTCAGACAAAGATATCAACTTGTAAATTCCACAAGACAACAAAGGCAATGCCAATACCATGCTAAAATTATTAGGGAGCATGAAATATTGCACACCGTATGGGTACACATGGATGTTCAATATTTCACCCCTCGGCTGCATTCCAATTCCACCAAACGCTGTATATTTATGAGCAGAAGCTTCTCTTCTGACTCCAAATGAGAAGGGCAATGCAATCCTCTCCCTCAATCCACACCTGCTGCTATTAGATTTCCACCAAGGCTTAGAGAGTCACAGAGAGCAAAGGTGTGCTTGTAAGCAGATGAGACTGTTAGAATCAGCATGAAGCCAATGGGAGGACACAAAGTCCCCTTCCCTTAGAAGGTTTTTTTCTCAGGGTTTGTGGGAGAGCAGAATGTGCTCACGTTTGGACGTGACTGAGATGCAAGAGTTAATTTACTTCCCCCAACTGTTCTGAGCGAAGAACACCGATGTCAGCAGTGTTGAAGCTGCTTTCTTGAACCCTCATCTCTGAGCTAGCCTGGCAGAGGATATTTTGTGAAGATTAACTAAAGTCCTAATTCTCCTTAGCTCCTAAATCTTACAGACCCACTAGTTTCCACCAGGAATGAGGTACATGTGGGAACAACATGGGTTTTTAATCTAATCTGACTCCTTTAGAAGCATTGCTTTGGTAAAGGGCAAATTACTTGCACTGCTACATGCTGGAAATAGTGTAGATGAGGCATTTTGTCGCCTAAACCAGAATGTAGGCGACATAATCTTTTAATTGCTGCATGGCAACGGACATTCTAGAACATGTAACAGGCCATTACTTACGATGACAGAAGAATGACGGGAAGTTTATCGATGGCTTTGATGTGCAATGAGCATTTCCTGATTGCTTTGCTTGCATCATCATTCATAACAGTGGCAAGTTTCAGGGTTAATGATGTCACTGTAAATGCAAGCATGGCTTTATGTGCAAGTTTCTAAACCGCATTTGTTAAATTTTGAGTAAGATGTATTGCGCTGTTAATTATTTAATCAATTTTGATTAATTCCTAAAATGCAAATTAGCTAATTAAAAACCTGAACCTATAGAGTTACAAGTGATTAGCTTACAAAGCAGTACTTGGTCCGTGTGGTTAAGAGTGGATGGATATATGATTAGAGTTAAATGTATGCATATAATTGGACTGGCATAAA